CTCTCTGTAGCCTTGGAGCTGATGTCATAAGTACTGGTGAGAAAAGTGGGTTGGCAACTGTGAGTCTGTGAACATCTCTAGTTAAAGTTCCTTTGTAAAAATACAAAGGACTGCACATGGTGTAAGGCAGCCAAGAACTGAAATATTTACCATGATAAATTACTTGCTTTATTATAGCCGTTTACTGAAGCAACTACCAAAAAAGCAATAATATAAAATAATTCATGCCTGTGGATCTTAGATTAATAGAATTGCTAACAATTTTCTTTTACTTCATCCTAAAAAAACTAATTATGGCACTTTTCTGCTACAGGCAAAAGAAACAGAAAAGCTCTTCATATATTATGGATTGAAATAAAGGAGAGTTGAGGGAAGTTAAGTTTCCCTTGAATGAATTTTTTCAAACTGTGTGTGGAAAACTACACAAGAAAATATATGAGTATGCACTTGCAGAAAATCCACTTTTGCCTTCTGTAATATCATTTAGAGAGCAAAGACTTACTTGTTTTTCTAAGACAAGTGTCTTAGAACTATGTCTCTTCATAGCCAGAGTAGAAGGGGAGATGGATGCTTGAGATGGCCCTGAGCAGAAATTTAAATTTAATCCTGTCAGTGTTGAAAAGTTGATTTGAACCCTGTTTCCCCAGTGAAGAAAAAATAACCCAATAAGAAATGGCTCCAGACCTCTTAGGATGAGAATCAGTTTCTGAGAAGACCTTAGAAGGGAGAAGAACTAATAACAGAAATAACAAGAACTGCAAGAATTAAAAAAACAAACATTAATCAGCAGGAAAAGATACTTCTTAAAAGCTGGAAAATATAGGAGTAAACAGAGAATTGACAAAAGCAAAGATTAACTCATATAGCTAAAGAAGTTATGGAGATTGCCAAAGGATTTTCAACTGAACACACAAATAGAACAAGGAATATAAAGGTGGTATCACAAGCATTTGAGAAAAAGAAAGAAGCATGGCCTAGACTTACGTAAATGCAAGTATGAAAACAGACAAAAGTAGGAAGTGGCATCAAAAGCTGTAATGCTTTTGTACAGAACTATCATGGCAGATCAGGTGACCAAGCTGCCTGGCAGAACTGATTTGCTTGACAAAGGAATTATAAAAGATTAGATGCTTGTGATTAAGGCATTTGAGGGTGGTGCCACATAAGAAATTAGTTCATCTGAGGAGGAGAGTACAAGCAGTGATGGGACTGGTGGGGAGGGACCCTTGCAGCCACTGTGTTATGCAGAAAACAGAACTTCTGGACTGGACACTCCCTAGGGGCTTCTTTTCTCCAAGGACCAGTCTAGGAACAGATGCTGTTTGATATTTTCAGTAATGACTGTCATAGAAAAGAGAGAGGTATGTTAATGAAATTTAGTGATGACACTGAAGAGGGACGAATTGTATGTAGAGGGGACACTCCAAATATCATGGAAGAAATTCTTGTTGATAATGGAAAAAAGTGATAGTAACACTGAGAAATTCAATAGTAGAAAATTCAAAGGGAATGATAATTTTAATGAAGAACATTTCAACCAAGGGCATTGAAGTGGGAAAGGACAAGATACGGGAGGATCACAGGATAGTTGTACATCCCTTGTAATTAATTTGTGAAAAAGGCAAATGCAGTCCTCATGTCCTAGGTACAGTATTTCCAGTGATGAGTAAATACACTGTTGAAAAATTGTGTAGCATGTACAATGATAGTTCACTCAGAAAAGATATGTTAAAATATGTGACAGATGAGAATTACTGAAACTATACTTATTTTGCCAAGGAAAAGAGAAGATGCACTTTTTTCAAACAGAACTTCAATAACAAGCAAATCTGGAAAAGCATACATCCCAGTTTCCATTGTTCTGTAGAGCTGCCCTTATTACACACTCTGCTGCCCTTTGCTCAGGTCTTGGATGGTGACTGGCTGCAGCCTCTCACTTTGGGGATTATTGCATCTTGTTGCAGAAGCCCCAGCATGCATTCCTCAGAAATGCAGAGCAGCAGCAGAGTCCAGCACATCTCTGCCTGGTGACTTTGCTCCTCAAGTGAGGCCCTTGGGTAGACTCTGGTCTCACAGCTCACCTTGCCAGGGGCATCAGGCTCTGCAGTTCAGGGACTGCCTTCTGGCTGGATGGACCTGACTGTGACGAGAGAATGAAAAGGGAGAACTCGTTTTCCATCTGTAACACCAAGACATGTGTTAACCACTCCATCCTGTAAGTGGCTCCTCATCAGTTCAGAGCTACAGTTCCCACAACAGCCAGATCCTTGGCTACCTGTTTCCACTGGCCAGGACAACAAACTGCTCATTGCAGCAATAATCAGTGAAGTGTGAGATTTGCTGTGTGAAACCATCACGTGTGTGCCTGCTCCTGGGTACCCACTGCTCACCTGTCAGTGAGCAGCTCTGTTGGCCACACCGACAGATCTGCGGGCAGCAGCAGCGGTGGTTTTGCAGGGTGCAGAGTCAAGCTGACCTCCTTATCTGAAATCTGGTGTTGCTTGGGACTACTGGGATACAGATAATCCTCTGACTTAATTTAGAGCTGCTCAACAGGCAAGAATCTGTTTCAGCTCCATGAAAGAGAGAGTCCTTTCATAAAGATGGTACAACAATAAGAAGTGTAATAATTTTTGACTGCTATTCCAGTTACGTTCACATGCTTGTCCAGCACGCCCACGGGTCATATAGCTCATGACTAAGTTCCTTTTCTTTCCTATATGATGAATCTGTAACCAGTGAATCTATATGCAGGCAATCCTACATGAGACAGAGCCAGCAGGAGACAAAATGAGGCAAAGAGGATTGCATCTGACAGAGCTGTTTAAATAAATTGTTAATTTTCTTAGAATACCAGGGGACCTGTCTGTAGCCCCAAGTCTCCATAGCTTGTAATCTTAAGAGCCATCTGTCTCCATGTATACTGGAGGAGGCTATGGACTTGGGAGGATGATGAAATATTGGGATGTAAATATTGAGGGGGTGGGAGATTATTCCAATATCTAATCTTGCATCTCACAAGATGATGGGTTCCCCAGCCTCCTAATGTGCTAAGAGAATACAGGGCACTCAAAATTTTCAAGGTCTGAACTCTGAAATGCACACACATTTAGCAAATTTGATAAATGTTACTGTTAGTTGGGTGAATATGTCCAAGTTTTATTTTTCTTTTAAATAGATAATCTATTCACTAAAAAGAAAAATGTTGTTATATGTTGTAAATCATAATCCAAAACAGAAAAAACAGACAAAGTCCAATTTATACACTTTTAAGACCAACTATAAAAGCATGTTTTTATTCAGCTTTGCAAAGGATAAGAACTAGGTTAAAACTAACTAGTACTTGTTCATCTTTTCATAGGAGAGATGTGTCTTGGAGGAAAAGATAAGTTCTTAATGGTTTAGGGCATATATTAGATTTACTTTCTAAAATTAATAAACTGGATATGTAATGGTGTCCTGGTTTAGGGCAAATTTGTGAGGAAACTTCCAAATGGGGTCCCTCTTGAAAGCAAATTCAAGTCGCCCTTCCCCACTTTGGTTCAGGAGACATAAACCTCCTTTGAGAGAAGTACAAAAACTCTTTATTTAACACACAAATGGCTCAGAAACACGGAAAAATGAATAATACTAAACAATAAAACCTCTCGCTGTTCTGAAGAGATGGAAAATTCAGAAAGTCATTTTCATGGGGTGGATATCTCGGCTTGCTCAGGCTCTTATCAGTCCCTCTGGTGCTGGAAAGTGCTGAGCCCCAGGCCCTGGTGAGCCCCAGGTGTGAGCTCTGGGTTTGGCTGGGTTTTCAGCCCAGAGCAGGGCCGGTCAGTCCCAAGAAAAAGAAAAACCAGTTTGGGGAACCTCTCTGCCCCAGCTAGCGAAAAACTAACTAAAAGCAAAGGACAGCTCTGTCCCACTGTCCGTGCTGCAGACACACAGCCCACGAGAAGGAACCTGGGGGAGCAAGTGCAGTTTCTGCAAACAACCTGCGGCTTCTTCCTCCCGCTTCGCTCTGAGAACCAGCCTTAAAGGTGCAGAATTTAACAAACAGAACAGACTGCTGGGGATACAAGCATCATAATGTCACCCTAGGACAAATGGGAAGTTTTCTTTTTAGTCTAAATTAAATATTCAAAATGAGGTCAGGTCTGTGGCCATAAAATGAATTTATTTATGTATCCCTCTCCTGAATGATGTAACTTCTTTGAAAGACTAATAAATATCAACTCACAAACCCTTCAGTGTAATAATTCATCTCCTCCGTGGCTTTATATCTCAAGGGAGACAGTATATTCTTCTGGTAGAAGATAAGAGCTTTAGGAGACCTGTGTTTAAATTCTAGTTTAAGAACTGAGAGGTTTTAAAGAGTAAGAACCAAACTGTATCTTTACAACTATCCTTCAGTCACCTTTCTTTGAATTTCTCCACTGTAGCAGTATTTATATGCCTGTGTAAAGCAATTTAAAAATCTTTGCCTGAACTGTATGCATATTTTTAACTGGAATCTATTATGTATTAATTATAATTTACAAAGAAACTATCACATACTTCAAGTTCTTACAGTTATTTTTGGATTCCTGCTGTGAAATGCAACTTCTGCATTTTAATAAATATTTAACTGAATGCCTTCTCTCTAACTGTAAAGATTATCTGTAAAGATAATACAGATTTGCTGTAAAACTCAGCACAAAATTTCTTCATTTGTTCTCCTTTAGACACCTAATTTAACAAAGCGCCAAGCCTTCTCATAGAAAGTGAAAATAAGAAAGCACACCTTCTACCTTAGCCCAAATTGCCATCCATGAGCCCTATTTTACTGCCTTTGCACTTAATTGCCAATCCTTCCTTTTGATACACAAGAGATTAATACAACTTTTATAAACCAATTATAAACAAGCCTATAGGTTAAAGAAATGCCATGTATCAACATAACTGAACAATGTAAAAAGTTTTGTAAACCAGATAAGAAATATCAATTTTCCTCTTTCCACACTGACACTTACAGCATTTTCCAAACTTTTCAAGAGTTTTGTCTCATGTATGGAAGGTTTTTCTTTCTGGAATTCCTAATTGTGCCTAAAAAAAAAAAAAATTCCATCAAAGGAAGAAGTTAGAACAGTAGGTTTCTCAGCTGAACAGCATTAATGAATATTAACAAAGCTAAGTGTTTTGGTGTGATCCAAGAATATGTATGTACAAATGCAACCAAAAATTAGAGGTAGAATAATCTTTATAAAGGCACAGTGGAGTAATGTGAAAGTTTGCAATGCAATAAATCAGCCAGTAGCTAAAATAATTTTGCAGTTCTGATAATTTAGAAATAAGTTCTCTAAGGGGCATTAACAATGGATTTCAGACATTTGTTAGAGAATAAATTATGCTCTAATTGCTAAAATGGTTCCAATGAACTAGAAAGCACATGGCAGCACAGAGCAAATGATGTTACCAACCTTGTCAGGCTCCAAAACTGCAGTATCTGCATGTCAAATAACAGCACTCTCATTTAACCCTTTATTTGCATACTCTTTTTGGAAATAAAAAGAACTTGCCTTTATCTGACATGTATCTGTTGCAGTAGCGATGGACAAGACTTCCTTATCCAACAAATAGCAATCTTTATTGTTCACAGCTCATATTTATATAATTTCTGAAAGCATTGTGTTTAATTCTAATTGGTTAGTAACTTTTTGCTACTCTGTTCACTGGTAGCAGTTGCTTGTGTATGTGCTTGCTAAAGGCTTTCTTCCTTAAAGAAGTTTACATTCTTTTCTCATGGCTACAAGCTGATTCTCACAGGTACAGGTGTCTTTTCTCATGGGTTCTCACGGGTACAGGCTGATCAAGTCAAAGTCACCTGTGTCTTCGAGGCCTTCAGGCCAGCTGTTAGCCATCACAGTGTCTATTTTTAGTGTCATCAGACTATCTTTTTAAAAACAATGAGTGTGCAACAGAGAATACAGATTCCTTTCTTTTTACAAATGCTGGCACATTGTATAACCTCTTTCTTCTAAATGAAACCAAAAAACAAATTCAATCCAAATACCCAGTACACAAAATAAATGTCCAATTAAAAAAAAAATATATAAATTTAAAAATTATATTTTGAGAAGAGGCTTTTGAACCATCAGTACTTCAATCTTGCTACTTGAGAGCTATATACACCTCTTGGACACAAAGCTTCATCCACACTATTTTACTGTAGAAAGAAAATTGCTCTTTAAAAGAACCCCAGAGTACAGACAAAAGAAGTGGGAGGAACATATTTATATTCACCTCATCTGTAGGTATTCAGGCTAAATAAAAAAATAGTGAATCATTATCTTGTTTGTTCGGTTTGTTTTTGGCATTTTCAGTAGTTGTTTCAGTAGGAGGCTGGCGGGACTTGAGACCAAAATTTTGGCGTATAACTCTAAAAAAATTCCTCCTAGAATTAGGAGGAACTCATGAGACAGAGATGCAAATTTCTTTTAATGACTTTGGGTCTCTTCTAATGGGAAAACATAAAATGCATAATATATTATGAGCTGATATTTATATATCATAGAAGCATTTTTCTTAACCAGGCATAAAATTGTGGCTATGTCTTACACCATTATCCTTTATACCTTTTTATGTTGGGATTTTTATGCAGAATAATCCAAATATCAGAAGATTCATTGGCTCACCTTTAAAAGACTTTACTGTCTTTTGTTTAGGCGGTTCAGTTACTCAAATTATTGACCTTATTTTCACACTGTGATTGACACAATTGTGGCTTTTCCATTCTCTTTATTTTTTTCTTGCCTTGTATTTCAGAGCAGACATGCTGTAAGGGCTACACATTAGCAAACGCTTCCAGTTCAAGCTTTTAGTAAATTAACCTTTAGAGAGCTGAAGACAAATGTGCTCTCAGCCTGGGACTGTTTCTCACCAAGGCCCTGCCCAGGACTGGCAGACAGAAGCAGAACTCCTGGCCAAGGCACGCTCAGCTGCAGTGGCAGCTGGGGTCAGCCCAGGGCACCTCACACTCGGCTACCTAAATTGCCATTCTTGTGTCCTTAGGAACAACTTGCATAAAAGCTTCTGGACCAAGACATCAGTGATTTAAATGGTGGCATAAGAGGGCAAGCAGAATAATCAACATTTGTCTGCCAAGTTCCAAGTACAGAATTCTGTTGGGATAAGAGTGGAACGAGTGAAAAAAGATATGATGCTTTACCCTTATATTTGTCCTTTGATCATGAAATGAATGCAGCACAATTTATTTTTCAAATTATGAGCCTATTTCATGGAAGCAAACAATGAGGAAAACTGTTTTGAGACTTTATTTATTTATTTTCATCAAATATGAACATTTTAGTACACAAAATGCTTCAGGTAGGATTTCAGTTAAGACATTGGCACTGAGGCTCTGCATTTCCTTATGCAGAGGATTTGGGTAAAATATCTTACCTCCAACCTACAGCAAGGCTTTGGTTGTTTCCTGAACCACCTTTGTGTCCTTACCTGAGCAACCTTTGTGTCCTTTCCCTCAGAAACACTGTTCAGAAAACCTCCACAAATTTCTTGTGGAATTAATAAACACTTTGCCATGTGGATTTCAAATGAATTTATTTGTAAATTCCATGGAAGCCTCCTTGTTCAGCAAGTGCTCAGCTCAGGAAGAACATATATTATCCACACTCAGGATTTTGCACTCAGAACCGATTGCTGCACATGACTGCACCCTGCCAGTGAAGGGGGGCGGCCACATAGGACCTGTATTAACAAGGGTGAAGTCAGAAGATGAAAGAAAGTGATTATCCCCCTCCCCCTGGCACTCGAGAAGCAATATCTGGTGAATGGCATCCAGAGGTGGTTTACCCAGTAAAAGAGATTGACATGCCAGTGAGAGTGCAGTGGAGAGATGGTGAGGGGCTGAAAAACGTGATAAAGCAGGAGAGGGTGAAAATTTGGTTTGTTCAGCTCAAAGAAGAGAAGGCCCTGGGAGGACCTACCATTGTCTGCAGCTCCCCAGGGGAGGGTGCAGAAAAGATGGAACCAGACCTGTCCTCACAGGTGCTGGATGACAGAACAACCTGCAGTGGACACAACTGACAGCAGATGGATCCTCATCAGGTACTAGGAAAATAAAATCTTTACCATGACAGACGTCAAACATTAGAAGGGACTGCCTGAGGAATCTCCATGCTTGGGGACAGGCAGAATTGGCAGGTGTGTAGAACCTGGCCTGGGAAGGGTCTGCTCTGAACTAGGGGGACTGGAATATAAACTCAAAAAAATAGATGTAATTAGATTCTGAAGTGGGCAGTAAGACAAGTTCTGCTTAATGGTCTCAATAAGGCACAGTCATGTGAAAACAGAGGACAAGGTGCTGGGTGGAAAAAAAAATCCCTAAGAATTCCTCAAATCCATATTATTCAGAAGTTTTCTTGTGTTTTGCTGTCTTTTATTAAATTCATCTGGTTCATTTGAGAATATTTAAGATTGTTTTGTGCTTATAAATGACAGCAGCATGTAGACTAAAATGTACCATATATATCAAGGGCTTCTTATAAAATGTAAGCACTACAGCATAATATTCAGTACATGAAGAATAAGATGATGGACCTACAAGTCCTGGTTTTAAGTCTAAGATCTGTGGATCCACCCAACAATGTAAAAGCAAAAAATTGCACACATAGGTCTGGCAACTGTCTTAGGGAGTGACAATTCTGAGAGCTGTAGGTGCCTGCACTTCAGGATTATTACCTATATCTATTTTAAGTCTTGTAGATACTTTGATTTGCATTGGGGAAAACACACCAAGAATGTCTCAAAAATTGTTATGACAGATAAGATGCTCTTGTAATCATCAACCATTTTATCAAATGATAAAAGGAACAGATTCCCAATCTCTCTTGCTATAGAAAGCACTATAAAAATCTTAATTTTTTGTTTATAGAAGACTGAAATCAATGCAAGCAATGACACTTTCTTATGCAACCTCCTGTCTGTTTCTTTTTAAAATAAATTATCTCTGCATTGCTCCAAGCTGCCACGTCTCTACCTCTGTCAGGAGACAGTCCATCTCTAACAACAGATTGTCAATATCTTGACAGTGATATTGGTCCCACTTGAAAACCTAGGAAGTGTGGCTGTAATATTTTCATAACACCACTGAAAAGTGCTGGTTTACAGCAGTTGATAGAATTTGTCTCTCATTTTTTTGGTATGAAGAGATTGTCTCTTATATTTCTTATTTTTTGGTAAAGACTTACGTAACACACAGAAAACAGAACCAAGACTACCCAAGCTGCCTGTTGTTACACCACTTGCCACCACAACAAACAGCCTGACCCTGTTGTCTTTGTTGTAGCTACTCTTCAAGTAGGGTTTGGCTGCTCTGAGCTTGGCCTGAGCCTTTTTTTCAGCTGAGTACACTGGCCTTTCCTACCACAGACCAAACTGCAGCTCCTGAGGTAGGGTAAGTGAAGCAGAGTAAAACTTTCTATTTAAAATTTAATAGCTGAATCATCCTTTGTGGTGTTCTTTTAAGTTATAGTCCTGAACAACAATCAGTGTAACCCCCTACCCAGAGCCTACTTGTAACAGTAGTCTTGCTAATGGCTGATTTTAAACGTAACATTCCTGTTTCTAGTGCACAAGAAGCTCAGTTTAACTTACTATGCTGTCAATAGCTAACAGAGCTCCTTGCCATAGGCAATAAACGCTGTTCTGTTGTAATTCTATCCATAAAAATGCTACATCTCTGAAATACCATCATCAGTAGTTGACAATCTGCCATCTCTCTCTTTGAAGCATTATTTCTCTGACATGTTATAGGATGGCATGATAGCAAATGCATGGTTCTAAGAATCCATGAGTACATTAAAATAAATCTTACCTTACATCAATGTGAATACAAAGCTCTTTTAGTGTATCTTGCTACATTTTCTGTGGGGTTTTTTTTTTTGATATTACAAACTAAACTGGATCAGGCTGGATTAGTACATTCAGAGATTACCAGCAACTACATTCTTCATGCACTGGTACAAAAGATGATGAGCTATTGGAGCACTTATTCCTATATGAATATCCCAAAATCATCCCAAGAG